AAACTGTCTCGATTTCACTGGATTTGAAGTCAAGTTGCCTTCGAGCTATTGCGAAACTGGTGGTTCAGACGAAGATCATGAACTTTATATCTGGCTTCGGTTAAGTAATAATATGATGCTCAATCCGATTTCCCATGATTTTAGAGCCGTGTTGCATTTTGATGGATGCGCCGTAAAAGCAGATTACGACGCCAATCACATAAAAATCAGATTTAAAAAACAGTTTTGTTTTTAAATTGCATCTCCTTTGTCCTTGCACACGAACGACACTGACCGAACCTTTCACGCCTTCCGAAAATTCTGCCCATTCTTTCTTTTACTCTTTCGTGCCCCCCCCCCTTTTCTCTCTCTCCGAGTCAATAATAGTCGAGGCGGCGCGAACAGTATGGGGGCAGTACGGCCGGCTCCACGACTTGTTTGACTTCCACGGACTTTCTCACCGACAGGCCGACAGGCGCAGGCGAGCGGATAGCGAAAGGACGTCGAGAGCGAAAGGACACGGGCGCCACTGGTCCATGGGGACAATGAGGCGCGTCGGAGGCGTCGTGCAGGCTGCTGTCGGCCGCTGCAGTGCGCTGCAAGCCCTTGCAGGCCCTTGCAGGCAGCTGCAGACTCAGGCGCAGTGGCGGTATGGTCCGGCATAGAGAAGGGGGGGGTTACAATAGTTTTTGTAGCACAAATTGTCTACATTTCAGGCAGGTTCACTAGAAACCGGGACGGGGGCATCACTTGTGCAGAATACCGTGGGATGGCAGACGGCACGTCGCCACGGGCTCTGCTACCTATTGCCAATAGACTGAAAAAGACCAGTCATGGTGGTGGACTATTGTCAAAAGGGCTGCAACTCCGTTCCGCCATAGGGGCAGCTAAAAAGCCTTTGAGGCTCTTTAGGGGAAGCCATGAGTCAGCCGTGGGGCAGCCATGGGGCAGCCACGCGCTTCCACGGGCTCGTCGTGCAGTGCAGCGGCGCGCCGCCGCCGTCGCGGCGAGCTGCAAGGCAAGGCTGCCCTCCCTGACACACTTCCAATCCACCAACAAACGGCGACCGATTCCACATGTCCCGCGATGTCCCACCAGGCCCCGCTGCGCCGCGCCCCGCCCCGCACCGGCCCGCCCCGCCACGCCACGCCGTGCGACCGGCGGCGCCGGTCTATAGGCCAACCACCAGACAAAGCTCTGACCTCTGCGAGTGGGAAGGCTGGGCCGCACACAGGCGAGCTACAGTTTGGTCCACAGGGCAGGCTATACGCAGGCCACAGGTAGGCCACAGACAGGCAGAGATCATCTGCTAGGCCACCGCGCCGCGCGCGCTTCAATGGATACCATGCAGGGCTGTATCTCGTCCTCTTGTGCTCGGTGTGAAGCTGTGCAGGCGGCGGCGCTCAAGGTCGCCCAAATAGCATCCCCCCTGCTCCCTTCTCCGCCCCGCCGCCCCGCATTGGCGGTCAGCTAATTGCCCGCTCCACAGAACGCCGCACATCTCTGCGTTTAATTCAGGAAGTCTCTGCCTCCGCTCTCGCCGGCCTCCTGCTGCTCCGTGTATCCGCCCGCCCACCCGCCG